CTTCTGCATCCCCTCAGGAAAGGGAATCAGCTGAATAACAAAATAATGTCCCTAATGAGCAGGGGAGGAGGTAAACAGCTTTGTGATGGAGATGACACTGATAGAAAGGCTGTGGAAATCCGGACAGATCTTTCCTCCGCCTTCATTCGTATTCAAAGCCCCCCAGGGGGGCACAGATGATGGAAACAGACTGTGAAGACACACAGAATTACAGGCAAAGGGGCTGCCAAGAAGATTTCAAGTCCAATTCTTCCCCAAGGGGGATCAGCTCGCCCCAAACCCTCCCTCAGATGTGCATCCAACTTGTACTTAAACATCTCCAGGGACAGGAGCTGAATCTCCTGGGGTTTCTCTCCCTACAGCATATCTCACTGCCGCCTTGCAGAAATTCAATTTTTGGCTGTCCTGTGCCAAAATGATGAGCAGCTCATCCGGAACCTGACCCAACCCTCGAAGACAAGGCAGGAGCCGGACTTGGCTTTGAAGTTGGCTTTCCTGGTTTGGCCAGGTCCAAAGGTTGGCGTGGCACAGCAGGGCTGCCCATCCCAGTCCCCACACCAAGCGGTGGTACCCACAGGATGCTGAAGGCATTGCAAAGTGATGCCCCCTCCAACACATGGAGTGACAGCTCCCATATCCGGGCTTGGCCCGAGTGGCATCTGTCTAATTAATGAGACTTGACAGAGGTGTTTACCAGTACAGATGGGGCCATAAATTCCTGCAATGGAGAGTCAATATCTTCATGCTAGTGAAGCCTGAGGCACTTGGCAATGGGCTGCATGGGGAGCTGCTATGAGAAATGACCTCCCCAGAAGAGACGTGTGTAGGAACACCCTCATGTGCTTTCTGCCATCACTGAGCCTATGTGAGTTGAGGACTCCCCCCCAGAATGCTCCTTCCTTTGGCTGAGCTGCTCTCAGAGGCATTGGGTTGGTCTCTGGGTTTTACCTGAACTTCTCTTTTTTTGCAGCTGCTCCCCAAACTCTTTCTGGCACAGGGTGAGGAACAACCCACAGCACTGCACTGCAAGAAAAGCCACTTCAAACAGAAATCAGATCTTCACGCACATCACAAGGGGCTCGTCCCCATGCACTGAGCATGGCTGGTCTCTGGTTCTGGGGACAGCTGTGCCTGATGTGTGGTGGGACCTGGAGAAGGAAGGGGGCCTCAAAGGCGAGGCAGTACCCCCAGTTGCAGCCTCACCCCAAGGCTCTTTCTCCATCCTGGATCCCAGCACCCCTCCTGAGCATCCTTGCCAAGGATGCTTCTCCAGCTGCTCCATCGTTTCTCCCCACCAGCTCTCCTGCAGCCAAGAAATGGGAATCCAGGGGCAATGCTTGTGGGACATCCACAGGGACATGGCAGGAGCAACACGGCACTGCAAACCCCACTGCCACCAGCACGAGTGGGTGCTGACCGGCTCCCTACCTTGTGCTGAGGGATCCCTGGCTAAGGGTGTCCCCCTCTCCCAAAAGTTCATCTTCACTGTGGTAATACATCTCGTCCTCTTCCATCCTGCGAGGGTGGTGACACAGAAAACATCAGCCCTTTCCCTCCTTGGTATTGGTAACAGTAATGGTGGTGACGTTAACGACCACGGCCCTTGCGGCTGGCAGAGGTGACTGCACGGTAGCCAAGCCTGACATCCCCCCCGCGCTCAAAATGACCTGCTGTGGGACAAGTCTCCAAACCAGAGGACACGGGGAAGATCCTTGGGACAAAAGCAGCAGATTAAACCAGTTTTAGTGCCATTGCCCGCACGCAAACTCGCTTGGGACAGCGGGACTAGCATGCCTTGTTTTTTTGGAGTGTCTGCTAAGGGATGTTCCTCCCCCTCCTCCTTTAAACCGGTTGTGTATTGCCTGGCTTACGGTGCAGGATTGCGCAGCCTGCTCCTGTGGGCCAGGGCTGTGGAGCAACAGGAAGGGGCTGCAATGGTTCCCGTGTCAGTGCTGGGGCTGATGGACCACCCGCAGCACCCGGCCTCGCTCAGGATAAGCCCCATGTACAAAGGGTTTTTGTTTTTTTTTTCAAAAGCATCGTGGATCTGAAGGAGAAACTGAAGCCAAATATCGAGGGACTTTCACCCAGCTGTGACCGCCAGGAACCACTCTCCCACCTGCTAAGAGCTGCTGGAAACGCAGCGCAAGGATCAGTGCCACGGCACGCTTCGCAGATGCCACAGCGGTATTGAACCGCCCCACGTCCCTGCTGCCTGTTTATAAACCCTTGCATTCATTTCAGCTCTCCAACAGGAAGGATTTTTCACCGACCACGTACAAACCAACCTCAAAAAAGCCCTTCTGCTCAGCACAGCTCAGCAGCCTTCAGCGCATCTCTCTGCACCCGGGCAGGGGTGCTCAGCAAACCACACGCCCGTGTAGGATCTGTCAGGCTAAACGTGGCTGTCCTCAACCTCCAGCTGAGCTGGCCATCTTAAACTTAACTTTACAGTCCCTGGAGACCTAATCCAGAGCCTCTAAGCACGATTTATCCAACTGCTTGCTGCAGGTGAAGCGTCAGCTACGCGGCGTTAATTGCATGTCCAGTGAGAGTAACGTCACGTTCCCATCGTGCTGCCTGCGTCTCCAAAGTCCACGTGGCGCAGGCAGGACACTGGTTTCCCAACACACGGGGCTGACAGACAGACGGAAACCCACTCTGGAAGCCAGGCTATGCCCTGCCATCCCCCCTTTTTAAATCCTTCAGCATCTTCCCTGTTCAGCAACATCACGGTCCACTGAGCTGGGAAAAGAATCTGCACTTTCAATTTGTTTGAAAATTCACAGGTTTCAACCCAATTCACACAGTTAATTAACTGCCTAGGAGTGATGCGAGCGACCGGAGATATCTTCCCTCAATCTCACACTGTGGGGAAAAAGAAATTTTGCCCTTATATGGCCACAATGAAGTGCTAAACCCAGACAGAAAGCAAAACGCTACTGAAGCACACGATTGCACAAACCCGGGGAGGGGGGGATGTACGGCTGCAGCAGCGCCTGAGATGTAAATGTTATTTAACCAGCAGCCGATTCCTAGGGGTATGTTTGGATTCACACCTCCAGGCTGGGCTCCCATGCGGATTTGGAAACACAAGGGATGTCCACGTTTGGGACCGTAGCCCTCGGACAAGGGCTGTGCTCATCCCAGGAGAGGGGTGGGTGACATGAGGGCTCAGCTCTGCCTGGGCTGCCTGCGCTCTCTGCCCATCCCACTCATGGAGTCTCTCTCCTCTACCAGTTTATCTCTTTCCATGAGACTTTTAGCAAGTTTAGGACTTTGATGTCTCCACTCTTCCAACTGAAAGAGGCTTTAAGAGCTACTGGAGTGGAGACCAACAGACAAAGTCCCTACCGTGGACAACACAACTACAGAAACTATGTAAAGCTGCCTGAAAATCTGCCTTAGCAACCCATGAACCCAATATATTTATATGCAAATGATTTCACACCTGCAAAACTCTCCTGTTGCCTGACGAGCTGGGTGAGGATTTGAGCATGAGGTTCAAAGCACCCGTGATGGGGTGGGCTGAATCTGGCCCAGTATCACTGGGTCAGTGTCCATCCATGCCTTGGCCTCATGGCTGCATATGAGGTGGGAAAGGGACTGTTTCTCCCAGCAAGGACTGAGCCCTGAGCATCCATAAGCCACAGCTCATGGCAGAACTGGTCCCAGCTTGCACTTCATCTCAACTGCAGCGTCCCCAGTCCTGAGCCCTCTCCACCCATCCCAGTCACCAGGCTGGGTTTGCAACTGGTTACAGCAGCTCTGTGTCAAGAAATGGAAGGAGGCAGTCCCTGGGCTTGTTTTCATCCATTGTCAGGTCCCATGAGCTTAGAAAGACACAAGAGTGATGCTAAGGACTCTTCAATTAATAGAAAGCTGATAACACCATCCCTTAGAAGAACTGGAGGTGTCCCCACCACAGCGTGAGTGGTTCCTCAGCTAATCCAAACAGGATTTTGCACTGGCACTGCCTTCGGTATGGGATTTCATTTAAGCCTGGTGAGGTCCTGAGGTCCTGACAGACTGCCGTGGAGGCAGCTTTGAAAATGTCTTTGAGAAGCTAAGTGCTTGTCTGTTTGAGGGAAGTGCAAGGGCACATTCCATCCTCCATGCCACAGCGTCCCTGCTTTCTCCCCCAGCCTCTGCTGCGCCAACTGCCTCACCATGGGATGTGCACACTCATGACGCCCCCCAGCATGTGGACATGGGTCAGAGGCACTGTCACTGTCACCTTCCACCCCAGAAGCATCACACTGGTGTGGATTTGTGGCCAACATGCCCTCCTCCCCCTGCCCCTGGCTGCAGTTGCTCTCGCCCCTCAGCACACCTAACCCAAAGGCAGCTCAGTCCTGGGGGCACCATGAGCTCCATCAAGATGCAAGACCCCACGCATGGCTCTACACCCCACGCATGGCTCTACACGCCACGCACGGCTCTACACCCCACACGGCTCTAATCCCATCCAATATGAGGTCTGACCAACAGGACCTCTCTGAATCTGTACTTAATTACATTTGCTGTCCAGCATCTGCCATGTGCTACAAACCTCAGCACTTGCTGGAAGGTTCAGGTCTGTGCTGGGCAGATGTGGTGGAGCACCAGGAACCTTCTGGCACTGGTAGGTGGACACTTACAGCCCATCCTCACCTTGAGCTGTGAAAATGGGCCTTCTGATAGCCACGGGATGTGATGCACCTTAGAGGACCATTGGGGCAATGCTGCCCTTTCATGACAAGCCAAGCCCTCCCCAGCTGCCATCACACATCTCCAAGTGCTGACCATCACATTACCTCCTGAAGCTCCTCTCTGTGGACTGCTGGTTGGATTTGCCTGGAGAGATGTCCGAGCCCTGCCGGTGGCTGGAGAGGAGGCTGTCCGTCTCTAAGGGGTACCTGCCATCCCCCTCTGAGTGGACGCTGGGAGTCTCCAGGAACTCCTTGTCGTTCCACGCGCCCACTGTCCCATCCAGAGCCTGGTACCTGATCTCTATGGAGATGGTGGTCTGCAACGCACAAGGAAGACACAATCAGCCCCCAAGGGCAGCACAGGGAGGAAGGAAGGTCCTGCAAAATCTGAAAAAGGCAGGAAGAGCTGTTGCATCAGCTTGCTGGATCTCTGAGCCTTACTGACCCCAAAGTCTCTTCTCTGCCAGTGCGTGAGACATTTGGAGAGCAAGTTTTTGGCTCCAGGAGTTGGTCTGACCCAGCTTCGGCATGGTGCTGCAGCCTGCCCCCTGCTCAGGGACCTGATTCACTTGGAGTTGCTGGTGCATCCCAGACCAGCTACATCAGATAGGAGAGACATAAAAAGCCCTCAACTGCAGACAAACGCCTTGAGCAGCTGAAGGCACCATGAGCAGATGAAGCCACGTCATGCCGGTGTTTTTGTGGTTTTTTTTTTCCATTGTGCATCACCTTGCTAAGAATTTGTGCCCTGCTGTTGAGTGCTGGGCTGCCAAGCCCCACGGATGCATGATGCCTTGCTCCTGCCTGGCCCCATCCCATGCCCAGGCAGGGCAGGGTTCGGCAAGGGATGGGCATCCCCGGGGAGGTTTGGGTGGAGCCTGGTTTGGGGAGAGGGTCTCCCAGCCTGGCCATGACCAGCGTGGCTGGGGCTCAGGGACAGGGAGGGACCTGGCACCGGGTCTGTCCAAGCTTGATCTGAAGCCTCTTCTGGATGAACCAGGTAAGAGAAAGGTCCTCTCCTTCTTCTGCATGGTCATTCCCCACTTAGACACCCAAGATTGCACCAGGCTGCTGCAGCAAATTCAGAGTTGGAGCTCCCAAAAAAGTCTTTCTCTGGATTTAAAACCCAATCAAATATCTGAAAGCTGATCTTGCTGCAAAGAACTGCCGGCACTACCTTTGCCCTGATGTCCAAAGTCCTTCTAAAACCACAGCTTTGGACAAAGCAGACAGAAAAATCTCTCTCCTAAAACTGTATCTATTTTGAAAAGCAAACAGCTGCTACAAAGCTCAAAACAAAACCCAAACCCATTCTCCACCTCCACTCAGCTTCCATGGAGAAATTATAAGTTATATTTGATGCAAAGGCAATCGATTTTAGACACAAGGACAAAATGAAAAAGGCTAACAAACCTGGAGCAGGAAAAATTATTAGAAAATCTTCCTTTTTTCACCTATATGTTTAAGAGGATGTATAGCATCCTGACTTGCTCCAACCTCAGCTTGTCAAAGGGATGATGAAAGGCTGGAAAACAGAAGATATGGCCTGGAAGGATTCCGTGTATTTAACAAGTGACAGCTAAGGGGTGACTCAAACCCAGCTGGAAACAGAGCTTTGTGGAAAGTTTTGACTGATTTTATTCTTCATATGGCAAAATACAAATTTGAGTCAATCAAAATGATTTGCCACATTGTGCTGACCTCACCAAGCTGTTTCGGATTGTTTAAAAAAGCAAATGCAGAGGAGAGACAAAGATCCATGCCGAAACATTAATTTTTCACATTTTCAAACCACCTCAACTGTGTTGTGAAGCATTTGATTTTGAAATCTCATTTTTAAACTATATTTAAAGGCTTAAAAAATCCTTTAAAAGAAATGAAAAATTATGGATGTAATAAACTGAAAGATGTTGGTTTGGGCTGAATAAAAGGGAAGGGGAATTAGTAGGTGTAAGCTGAAACCAAGAGAAATTCACACTGGAAACAAAACTCTCAATTTAACAGTAAAGAAAATTGACAAGTGGAATGATTCACCGAAGGGCTGGTGAATTGCTCTGTCACTGGACATTTAAAAATAATTTTTATTTGGTTGGTTTTTTTTTTTTTCACCACTTGAAATAATAAATTCTGAGACGTCCCAGAGCCTCTCTTGTAGGAGCCCAGACTACACGACTGTAATATCCCTCTTGGCTTTACAATTCCTGGCTGTTTTAATCTCTGTGCTAAGGCAAATCAATAACGTTATTAGGGCTGGCTGGAAGCCACCAGAGATGTTTTGCAGTCAGCCCAGAAAAAGGAAAAGAATTTTCAACCCTTCCTTTGCGTTCGATTACAGAAAGATGAAGTTATGCCTGGAAACTGCTTTCCAAGAAACGACAGCGGTGAAGATGTGCCTCTTCCTTCATCCAGAGCTGGGTGGGATGATGTCTGGAGCTGGACATGCTTCACATCGACGTGTCCGCAGTGCGGCCACCCCGGGGTGGGTTTGGAGGTGGGATGGTTGCGCTGGGGTAGGAGCTCGGTGAGCACCAGTCTGCAAGGAAGGATCCCTGGTGCCAGCCCAGCATCTTGCAGAAATGGAGCTGTGCTGCATTACAGCACCTTGAGCATCCGTGCCGCACTTGCCAGCAGCTCTTCTGGAGATAATGCAATGGCAGAACTTGCCTTTGCAGAGGAAACATGCCTTTAAAATCACAGGTTTTAAGGAGCTGAGAGAGGTGAGGTTTGCAGAGAGGGGAGAGATGGAAGTTGCTTCCTTCCCTAGTTCTGGAGGTGATTTTTGTAGCCCTTGCACGTGACTTGTCTTTGAGTTTGCTCAATGTGAGGAATGTGTTGCTTCCACGCAAAACCTTTTTCTTTGCATCTCAAAGGACGAGGAGTGCAGATGGTCGGTTACCCTGTCTCAGCTGATGGGCAGTGGCTTTCCAAACCTGCCCACCTCTGCCTCCTCCATACGTCTGATCATTTTTTGGTCCCCCCCGTCCTCCTGAACAGCCCTCCCTGGCCGTGGTCCACCCCTATGCCTACTAAAAACACCAGCATCTTTCAAGTCTGGGAGAAAGTGGGTCACCTCTCCAAGAGGGCTGACTCTGCTGCCCATCGGGAGCTATTCCAGATTTATATTTCCACTAACATTTCTCCATGCAAAATGTCCCAGGCATTGCCCTCTGGATTCTGTCTTCTTGAGCCTCCCTCTGTCCAAATTTATCCTCTTGCTGGAGCAAAGGCAGTGCGGGTACCTTCTCAGTCCTAGATTTATTCTAAAAATTCCATCATTTTTGATATCGAGAAGTTGCATGCATTTAATTTTCCTTTCTCCCCCCTGTGACACTGAAGGGTCTTAAAAATATGGGATTTTCTTCCTTTGGAGGGTCCCAGGGACTTTCACCAGGCAACTTCTCAGTCTGATAAACCAAGACAACAGCAGGAGCTGTTTTCTCCAGCCCTGAAATTATTTTTGCACACTGGGTCTGCAGCCCCTCTATTTTTTCTCCCTCCTCAGGACTGCATTCCTTGTACTTTTATTGGTTTCATTCCCTCTACCCCCCCAGGAGAAGTCACCTCCTGTCTCCTCCTAATGAAACCACTCGTCTTTTCTTTGCTAATTGCTTGTTCCTAGCGCAGAGGGTTACAGGCAGTTGCATTTTTCCTTTATGCTGAGTGTAGGAAGCAGTTTATAAAGGAATAAGAAAGGGGGAGAGAGGGGAGTCTGAGTTTTTATTTTTTAATTAAAACACCAGGGTTTTGATACCCAAGAAGATCAGAAGTAGCTGTATTTCCAAGTGTGTTATAAAACTCAGCCTCCACGGGAAACAGCTCCCATGAGGTGCGTTAAGCAGATGGAAATGCACTGAGCTCCACGGCAGCTGCTCTGCAGACAAGGAGCCTTTTCCCTGGCATCGGGGGCTCTGGATGAAGGATGCAGACCCAGACCGGGTGCTATTTCTTATCCTGATTTTCCCCAGAGGGGCATAAAGAATGGGACTTCAGGTGAGCTGCTGCACGAGGCATTTCTCATGTGCTGCAGGGCTCAGATAAAAGCAGTCTTGAGAAACAAATAATGCAAATGTCAGGCATTTCAAAACAACCAGTACCACTGGTATGGATTAAAGGTGATATACACTGATGGCCGGGGCAGAGCCAGTTTGGGATTGCTCAGGTGCAGGAGAGCACTGGGAACGTGGGACTGCGGTCAAAGCAGCTGCTCAGCATCTCTGCGGGGATCTGAGGACCATGCCATACTCCAAGCTGCCACAAGTCTCCAGCAGCAGGACGCTTGCAGGCTATTTCTGAGCTGTGCGTGAGCAATTGCACCCTGTGTGCAGGTTAAACCTGGTCCCTTCCTGCTTTGCGCCCAGCCTAAACTTCTCATGGCATGCAGAACAGTCAGCCTTTGCTGCGCACCCTTGGGACAGTCCTGGCTTCCTTCAGACCAAGAAAATGGTTCAGAATTTGGGGATTCAGGTACATGACACAGACTTCTCTGTTCCAGCAGAGTCAGCAGAAATAGAGACAGAAGGTCCAACGACTGAAGGGCACAAGTGGCTGCTTATTCCTCAGGACCTACCTGAATGGCTGAATTATTGTCGTCTATGAGCGTGTCCGTCACCTCTACCTGCCCTTCTTCCACCACCTTTTGCAGGACCATCCGGAAAGTGCCAATGAGCCTATGGAGCAAAGAAGAGAAAAGTCAGGCGAGCTGTGATGAGCACCCACCACCGTTAATTTTTAATGGGAATGGGCTTTGCTGGCCAAGTCGCCAGAGCCTGCATGGCTGATTTTGCTTCCCATTTGCCTTAGGAGGAGGTAGACATCAGATGTAGGATCAGAGCATGGCCAAGGACTCTGGTGGCTGCAACCAGTGACCCCAGCTCAGTGGAGATGGCAGGCAAAGAAGAAGCCCGGAGAGAAGCCATTTCGAGGTAACACTGCTGGGACAAGAAGGGAAGGAGACTTTGGGAACGTCAGTCTTTAATTACTGGGATGCAACCAAGGGAACCCAGATTGGTCTCTTCCATCCTGAAGGTCTACAGTTATGTCTGCGCTAGTAAATTGAACAAGGCAAAAGCCAGGGCTCCGTCCCTCACCCATCTGCACCAGGACATTGTCAGCACAGGCTCTGACATGGGGAGGTCCCACATCGACATGCCTGACCCCAACCCACCCGCCCAGGAGGGGTTATCCTGGGGCAGGGCATTCCCGGAGGAGTTTGGATGTGCCTGGTTGTGTGTGGCATGAGTTGCACAGCCCAGGGTTGGAGAACAGGGCTCATGACGGTTAGTTCGCTTGGTTGGACATAGTCTGAAGATGCTGCATGTGAGTCTGAAAGCTGCTCAGAGGAGAAGACTGACTCCCTCCTGCTAAGGGAGGTCTAATTGTAACTGATGCCTGAAGGCTCGTGTCCTTGTCCCAGCCCACTCCCAGCCTGCTGGGCATCTTCAAGCAATGCAGCAGGGACCCGGGGAGGTTAGGCTGTCTGCATCCGAGGGGCTTTCAAAACCCAACTGGAAAAAGCCAAGAGTCACCTGGTGTGAGGTCAAGCAGACCAAGCTCTGAGCATGAGGCTGGACTAGAGATCTCCTGAAATGCCTTCTGGTCTGAATTATCTCGGGGTCCTTTGATATCATCCTACGATCCTTGATCCTATAATTATTGCTGTGGTCTGCAGTGTGTGGGGCAAGCTGCATGCCAACGTTCAGCCCCTGTGTATTTGTCACACCTCATGGAGTTGGTGACAGCCTCACCTGAGCCAGGACCACATGTCCCAGAGCCAAAAGGGCTTGTGGCTGAAGGGAAACATTTACAGCAGGCATGGAGTGATGGTTTAACATATTATGGTGTTGGTGGGTGTTGGTTTCTTCTCCCAAGTAACTAGTGAAAGGACAAGAGGAAATGGTCTCAAGTTGCATCAGGGGAGGTTTAGAATAGATATCAGGAAAAATTTCTTCACCAAAAGAGTGAAGAACAGGCATTGGAACAGGCTGCCCAGAGAGGTGGTGGAGTCATCATCCCTGGAGGTGTTCAAAAAACGTGTAGACATGGCACTTCGGGACATGGTTTAGTAGACATGGTGGTGTTGGGTCAATGGTTGGACTTGATGATCTTAGAGGTCTTTTCCAACCTTAAGATTCTATGATTCTATGATTATTTTCTCCTTCCCAGGTTGTTTCCACTCTTGTGCTGGATGCAGAGCACTCCCATCGTTCCTTCAGTGGAAAACCAGCAGGTTCCCCCAACTCCACTGCTGCACGGACCAGCCTGCCTGACTCTGCCCAGGAACGGATGAGGAGGGATCACATCTCTCCCACCCGACCTGCATGTGCTGCCTCCCACCGTTGGCTGAGCTGGATGCTGAGGTGAGGGCATATAACACCTTCCAACCACCACGGCCATTTCTGCCACGAGATCTCTGTCACCACCTAAACTCCTCCAAGATGAGGAGGATGAAGGCAGCTAATTGTTCTCAGGGGCTCTTGCCCGGGCTCGTTGCAGCCTGCTGCTCTGGCAGCCAGGGAGTGGAGCACTCTGTGCACTAAAAGCAGCCACATTTGTTAAATTACAGGTCCAAATAGACACCACAGAGAGCGGAGAAGCCTGGCGCTCTCTAATAAAAGTCATTACTTATTTGCCAGCTCATGGCTTGTCAAGGAGCTGTGGCTTTATGTTCTTCATGTTCTGCCGTTGCACCAGAGGGACCTTCCCAGCCTGAGAAGAGACAGCTATGAATCAACAAGTGACTCCCGACACAGAAAAAGCCCTGAAACAGTGATTGTTGCCTTACACCATCTGCCTTGCATGTCATCTCCAGTGCTGTGATCCCAGATGACAGCGAAGATATTACACAGCACACCAGCAACGCGTCCGCAGCGCTCTGTCGGCTGGGGCCAGCGAGAAAGCTGCTGCCGATTAAACCAATTCCTTGCGAACCTCAAGGCATCGCTTACTGCGATGCTGATTTATCGAGACGTGATTTCAGAGAGGGAGACAAGAACTCCCCGCGCTGTGCGGTGGGATACTGAGGGCTCCTCTCCTGCCCCTGTCCCTGCGTAACCCAAGCACCCGATGCTGTGCCTGCCTCGGCAGCCTGGAGGTAAAAGCAGGGTTAGCAGATTCACTGCCTTAACTGGCTTTGGGGCTTGATTTGCCTGGGTCCTGCCTCTGCCAACTCTTTTTTTTTTTTTTTTTTTTTTTAACTTTCCTCTCCCATGGGGAATGGCCTTTGTGTGCGTCCCTGTGTCCCCTTGTGCACACACCTGCCTGCGTGGGGATCAGGCAGCACTGCCGTGGGCGTTTCTCAGTGCCTCTGTGCTGGGTTGTTATCCCACTGTACACCACTCATTTATAACAAGAGACTACCTGAGGAAATTAATAAACTACCTGAGGAAAACAGAAAAATGACCTTACTGTTGCTCACCCACTTACCCAGCTCTGTCTGACTTGCAGCAGCAGCAGGGAGGTCCTGCTTTCCAACAAACCTCTGATGGCTCCTGCTCCAGCTTGCTGGTGGTGCGTGATGCTCCAGGAGCCAAGGAGAGCCGTGGCAGACCTGCCCTGGTGTGCTGTGCAGGATGGGACCCTTCCCTGCGGGACTTTCACCTCCCTTCCTCAGCTCCCTCGTGCTGTGCACGGGTGGATCCCAGCACTGGGATCCTTTAACTCTTATCTCCAAGGTGCCGTGTAGGACATTGAACGTGAACGCTTTTTCTTTGTGTGCTTCGTATTGCTTCATGCACAATGAACAATGCATCATCGCCTCCCGCGGAGCCCTGCTTCTTCTCTGAGATGGGCTTATTGGGGGGAAAAGGATGCCCTACCAGCCTGGATTTTAGGGTTTGTGAAATAACGTTATTTGCTGTTTGCAAGAGCAGCAGCTCTCTTGTTTTGGAAAGGCTTCCTTGAGAGAAGTCTGCGCTTTATTTCTCGGGGTTTGAGCACAGACTGTTGCAGGGCTCTGGAGGGCTGTCCTCTGCTCATGGCTGGCTTTGATTTTGGCAGGTCAGTTTGGAGGGATGCTCCTGCGGCTTGACCTCTAAAATCAAATTATTTTAGTGCAGTTGCTTACGAGTTAGATTTGTCTGTGAAGGTTGCTAGGCTCAGCTGGTAACGCACTGCACAGTTCTTGCTCCTGCACGTGTTTGTAGGTGTCAGCGTTATTTAACCTGATGGCACATCATAAAACTGCAGCCCTTGGAAGTGCCACGCAGCTCTAAAGTGTGTGGTGGCTTCACTGCTCCTCTTAGATCAAGGTGGACCCAGGTAGCTTTGGCTCACGGATGCATATTGCCCCAGAGCAGCCTGATGAAGGAATAGGAAGCTTCTTGCCCGGACACAGCGATGGCAGATGTGTCTGTAAGTGGGAAGATCTCTCAGCCACGAGGAAAGTCCTCACTACTGTGATGTGAAATGCAAAATGACCTGGAACCAGCCTGATCTCCAGAGAACTTACCCTGGGCTCAGGATCCCTCCCAGCAACTCTGGCTTACCCAGTTACCCTCAGGAAGAGCCATGGTTTGAAGACAAGGTGAGCTCCTTTGCTGAGGGACACGGTATGGCTGCTACGGCACCGAGGAAGAGCTAGGCTCTCGCTTGTCTTTGCGGTGGCCTGTGAGTATATGGAGAGTCTTCAAAGCTCAGCTACCATAAACCAAACACGTGCCTGACACCAGAAGCGTGTTCACCAAGTTCAGACAAATTACTGAATTTTCCTGATCAATTTAATGCTCTAGAAAAGCTGACTTACATGAGACTGCAATCCACCTTCCACTTCAGTATCTTCAGGCTGACGGAGGATGAACACCAGTGAGACTGCGGTACCGCAGCTTCGGGCATTTCTGCTTTTTATTTAAGCTGCAGAGGCTGCTCTAAAGTGGTTTCAAGCTGCCTTGCCTTATTTTGCAATTGCAGGGGGTAGGAACGTGCCCGTAACCAGTTCTCCCTGCCTGAACATCTCTTGGTTTCCCACCTGAAATCCCCTGCAGCCCAGTGCTCACAGCTGCTGCTTCAGCAACAAATCAGTGTGGGGCTGAAACTTTTCCCAGGGGATCTTGTAACAGGGCTCAGAGCTTTTTTTTGTTTGATGTCTGAATCACAGACCCGCTGCCTGGAAGGGATGTCCTGCGCTGAGCAAGACCATCACCAACTCTGGATGAGTGTGACCATGGCTTTGTCTACGCAAGCCTCAAAAACCTCCATGGATGGAGACCCCCCCACCTCCTTGCTGACCTGTTGAGACTGCACCACCCTCCTGGGGAAGAATATTTCCCTCATATCCAACCTGAACGTCCCAAGCCACGCTCTGTGCCTGTTGCTCCTTGTTATTTCACCTGCCAGTACTGTTACCTCTATAACTCCCCTCCAAGCAGCTGCAGGCTGCTGTTAGGTGGTCCCTTGGTCTCCTCTCCACCAGATCAAACAAGCCCTGCTCCCTCCACCTCTCCCTGCAGGTTGCATGCTCCAGGCACTAGTTCATTTATAGTGGTGGTCGTTTCAGCTGATGGCTGCTGGTGGAAGCAACTGAAGTCTTCAGTGAGTCATGACAAGACTTTGCAATGAATTGGTGCCCTCAGAAAACTCCATTCCATGGGAAATACCTAAAGGTATCCTAGGGGATATGCTGGGGGAACGAGGGGCTCTTCTGGTTCCTCTAAACCCCCTTGCTGGTGGTGGTGGCTGGTCTCCCTCAGGGCAATCTGGATCTGGCCCTGTCAAAGCAAATAGCAAAAAGAGTGGGGGGAAAAAAACCCCCAGAGGTCAACAAGGTGCAAATGTCTCCAAGAGGCATTTCGTGCACAGCCCTCCCGTGCTTGCTCAGGAGCGTGGTTGTGGGGTGGGGGGAGCTGGGGCTGATGGGGGAGACCCCAGAGTCAGGCGACATTTCTGCATGAGAACAGGACAGCGGGGATGTCCCAGGCAGTGGGACCCATCAGGAGAGCACGTTCCCCAGCTGCAGCAGAAAGCCAGGGTCCCCTCCTGACCCCACAAAATGACTTGCCAGGCACCCCCTGCTTCTGTGACTTGCTGAGGTGCTGCCTCTGTCTGGGACGAGGTCACCCGAGAGAAGCCCAGAGGCTGGAGCAACATCACGTCCATCTCCAGCACATCGATTCTCTCCCCATCTGAGCTACAGTCGAACGCGCACGCTGTCTGTGAGCGCTCGGAATTGCAGGCTGTCACTACCACAGGAGTGGATAAAAGCAGGTATAACAGCCCCAGCCCCGGGGCAGCTTTTACCCAGCCACAATATCTGGACAGTGGCAACAGGCAAAGAGCAGATGCTCCCATCTCCTGAGAAGGTGGTGAGATGCAGACCCTTTCACCATTCTCTTAGCGTGTCTTTGCAACCCTTTCAGCCTAACTTACGTGCTTCTGCACTCCCCAGCTCTGCTCACAGACCTCAGGCCAGCTCGTCTGCAAGCATGTGAATTATTGGGATAACACGCTCCTTCCTCAGTCCCCTCCCAACCCACTTCCCCCGGGAAGGCAAGAGCCAAGCAAGAGGGAATGAAATATTCAGCACTTGTCTACACAGCCTTTCATTTCCAAGTGTTTCATAATTCATCAAGTGCCCTGTTCCCTTCCCTGGCATTTCTGTGGATGGAAAGAGAGGGAGTTTTTCTGGGTCACCTGTAATTTTATCAGACTGTAGGAACATCTCTTGTTTCAAACCCAGCCTGGCTGGTTTGATGCTTAGAGCTTGCTCAAAGCCTTGGATCAGGGCGGTCTGGGACTGCTGCACACCCCATGACACGCCACGCTTTGTTCTTTGTCCTTGTGGCACGTGCCATCTTTCAGTGAAGCTGTCTGTGTGCCTGGTGCAGTTCAGGAGACAGTGGCTGGGGGTCATGGTGAACCCCACCAGGCATTGCCAGCACGGAAGTGCCCATTCTGTCCAAGCAAGGGCTCTGAGGCCAAAGTGTGCATCTGGCTTTGCTAAGAGCATCCTCCAGCCCATGAAGTCCTGTCCCCCCTTCCCTGCTAGCTCAGCCCATGGATGCTGTTTGCTCCCTGGACAAGTTCTGCTCCTGCATCCAAGGAGAGCCTCTGGTGGGGGGCAGCATCTCCATCCATCCATCCATCCATCCATCCATCCATCCATCCATCCATCATCAGATCCTGGGAAGTGACAAAAGGCAAATCATGGCATCTCTGTCCTGGTTTGTCCCTCACCTCCACACACCTTGCAAGGTAAGGTGAGGAAAGCAGAGGGGTGCCACTGCTCTTAACCCATTGCCAGGCCCGCAAGAGCCCAGGAGACTGGAATGAAGGCTCAGCTGGTCAAGGGAGGATCCAACTGCACTTACAATAAAGACCTCGGGGAGGGCTGGTCTCCTGCTCCTGAACTACTTGGAGTTGTTGGATCCATCTAAATTAGGGAATTAAGTTCTCCCTGGTGCTGTCCCCCACCCATCCACACTGGGATGCTGCCTGCCAGGGTTGGCCAGGTCAATGCACCATCCCCAAGCCACGGCAGGGATGCAGGGATGCAGTTAGCCCAGGGCTGGGCACCCCCAGGGCGGTTTGGAGAGGAGACCTTCCCCACCTGGCTATGGCCAACATAGCTGGGGGCTTGGGACAGAAGAGGACCCTGGTGATGTCTGCATAGGGCACTAGGATAGAAGGAGAAAAATGGGTCAGACCCAAATCAAAGCTGTGGAAGTGAAATTAGGATTGTTATCTGATATCAAACAGGGGCGAAAAAAAGAAAAATAATTAAAAGAAAGAGTTACCGTGCCGAACCATTATAAAACCCATCCCTGCAACCTTGCCTGCTCCCCACCCAAACAAACTTTGAATGCTCGTCATACCCCAGAGTGTCTGAGAGAAAACCAGGAATATCGGGGAGGGCAGGGTAGGACAGGCAGCCATTGCATCTAGATGCCTCCCCCTGCCAGGACGCCTTCCCACCCCCTGACACTAAGAGCTGCAAACACCGAGGGGTTTGATTACAAGCTGCAACCCAAAGCAGCATCTCCAAACTCCTGCACTGTGGCTACAACCCAGACTACAGGCTGGAGAGGTGGGACCATGCGAACCA